CTAAATTTTTCAGGATTAAATCATTAATTTAAACCTATACTGTATATAGTATAGAACACCATTTGTTAAATTAATTTTTAATGAATTTAATAGGGTTAAATTTATTAAAAATTAATTTAACCCTATTTCTACATCTTCTGCTTCATTCAAAACTTGAAAATTGTAGTAAGAAATCATTAAATTAGAATGCAATTTTAATAGCTATCTTCAAATAATTATTTTAGAATGACATAATGTAATTGTTTAATGTATGAATTATCATTAAATGTAATCAAAATGAATTGATAAGAACATATAGTACTTTATTTCAATAAATATTTGTATATGAGTAGAATTTAAATTGTTTGTATAAAACTTTTGTTAATCTTTTGATAGTAACTTTCACAAAATTTATTAAATCTATAAAGTCCAAAAATAAACCTTATTGATAAATTTTTACATTTTAATTAAGGAATATAATATAAATAAAAAAACTTTGTCTTGATCATTTTAATTGTGTATGAGGACATGCTGAAAAATTCATAGCCCACACCCAAAATCTGAGTATTATTTTGATATTGTTAGTGGAATCAATGTACTTTTATATTGTAAAGTACAAATTTTCAGGATCCTTGAACTTATTTTTGAATTTGTTTTAGATCTCCAACTGAAACAATATCAATGTAAAGTGTGGGATTTTCAAGTGTTGAACCCAGCATTTTGATGAGGTTCCTACAGAAGAAATCTCTAAAGGAAATCATAAATTTATGATACAAACATTAGATGACAACAGTTTGAAATAGCGTGACAACTTCCAGTTTTGAGACTCAAGATGCAATCAAGTCTGGAAGGATTTTAACATTATCCACTCCCATGGCTGGACATTTGGCTGACGGACATTTGACCGAATCGACATTTGGCCAAGTAAAAATAGTCACAAACAATACTTTAAGTATTTTAATTAGCAGTATTATAAGTTAGAATAGGACTAATAATTACCACTGAATTTCAAGTGATTAAATTACTAAATCTAAATTTAAAGTTAAAAGTTTTCTTATTTTAGTATTTTCTTATTGAAATTAGTATTTTTTAAAATATTTGAGTGTATTTGGGCAAAATTTGTTTCATGTCTCTAGATCATTGCATAAGGATTGTAATAAATATGGCGATAAAGATGAGGACAATAGTCCGAATAATGTAAATAGTGTAGATAATACTTCATCTCAGAAATATAGATAGATAGTTTTGCTCATGCTGAAAACTTTACAGTATTCCTTTGTATATAAATGGAAGTTGCTTTTTGGATGTGTCTCAAGTAATACTATTATAATTTAAAAATTATAGTAATCTAAAACAGAATAAATAGAAAAATATAGATAATAAATGTCAGTAATAATTGCATGAAAAATAAAAAACACAAGAAAACTATCAATTCAGATTACTTCTGAATAATTTTTCTGGTATAGTATTAATTTTAAAGTTTATACTTCTACAAAGGTATATGGGCACATGGCCAAGCTGTTAGAACATTCACTTTCTGACCATCATACCTGGGTTCAAATCTCACCATCGATTTGTCAGTAAAGAGACTTCCTGATGTTATCAAACTGGAAGGGTCAATCCCAGCATGCAGCACCTTTGGAAAGTGCCTAAAAATCATACCATGGGTTGACCCAAGCCTTGTGAAAGAAATTGGGTAGAAGGAACCCTTGGAGGCTGTCAATAACTGCGCTAGCATGATGTCACAAGTCATCGTGACTGAAGGCTTGAGCGTGCTGGCCTTGTTCAAATTGTTGATAACACACTCTTTCCCAGAAACTGTAACTAAGGTCTGCTCAGCATAGTTGCAATATAAACCACAGGTGGGCTGTGTGGGTGTTGAACAAACACAAATGTGCCTGAGCAAGCATCTGCAATAGGGATTGGCTAGCCACCCTAGTAAACAGGTATCCTCAAATATGAGTAGCCAGCTATACTTCTACAGAAAACATTTCAGTGAATTAACTTAAGCACAAATCCCAGAATCAATATTGCCTTTTTGGTGCAATTTGTCAAAACATAAGGATTTTCACACACAATTAAGTGTTGAAGATGGATATTTTTAATGTTTATAAGATTGTAATCATTTTTTTATCTTTTAATCTCAAAGCGATGCTCAATTCTACTAATATGGTTCTTATAAAAAAAAGATGTAAAATACTTGGAATTTTGCTGGTAAAAATAAATGTTTATCATGTAATATTCATCAAATAGAAAAATTTTCATCTCAAAAACTAATAAACGTAAACTTTTAAAGAAGATATTTTGTAAAAGTAGCATTTTATAAAATATTTTATTTTTAGTTCTTTTTATAAAATATTCACCATTTTGTGCATTTATAAAAAACATTTTTGTGCAGAAAAACATTTTTACAAATTTGAACCATATTCTCACTTCATTCAGGAAAACAAAAAATTAAAAAAAATCTATGAATCAAAATCTGAAAGAGTAAAATGAAAAATGATAAAAACTAAAAAAACAAAACAAAAACAAGTAAAACCTTAAACATCTATCCAAAAATTAAAAGATTCAATCTTGAAAAGAAACAACTTTTCTTAAATAAACTTCTTTTGAAACTTATCCAAAAAGATTCAAGTACGTTCAAACTTTATATAAAACTTGATAAAGCTGCAAATAATTCAATATATATATTAAAAAAAACATAGTCTAAATTATTGTGTTCAAGCATGAAACAGACTATCACTGCTCAGTGTAGACCTCAGGTAACAAGATCTGTCTGTTTCATTTTTATTGTATTTTCCCAATTTTGTGAATAAGATGCTGTACATCAAGATGAAAATTATGGATAAACTGACTAAAGTTGATGTTTTGTTCTGTTTTTGTTTGTTTACTTTCAATTATCTCAGTTGTTATCAAATACTGGATACTCTCAGTATGATCAACAAAATATTAATTCAAATATACACATATGATATAAGTAATATATATAGAAATTGCCTAAATAAAAACAAAATCTTTAAGAAATACAAAGAAAGCAATAAAGAGTAAATGACAAAAATGTTGGAAATGTGTGCAAATTAATTGAAACAACCACTTTAGTTTTATTTCTTTTATCATATGGTCAGTTTTAGACCCACTGGAGTGACAGGTTGTAATCGGTTTCAATTTTTGCCTCACATTAGGTCATTTGCAGTGGTGTGCAGTAAGATGAATTTGTTTTGGGGGTGTATGGTGTAACTTGTGTGGCTCTGAAAAATATTGCATCATCCATGATTCCATCAGATTTTTATCATGCCCAGACACTAATGTCTTAACTGTTGATTAGTTGTCCTACAGCCATTGTCTGCGATGGGCATTACTCCAAGGAAGTTTATGAAAATTGTAATGCTGCATGAGCATACTGGCTAGCCTTACCAGTGAGCAAATCAAAGTACTATAGACTGGCCAGAAACTCTCCTGATTTAATTCCAATTGAGAATCTGTGGTCAATCTACAATGAATGACTTCATCAAATGGATATACCAAGTACTAACATATGTACTGGGTCACATTTCATTGGAAAAATACAAAAAAAAGTAAATAATAATGGAATTATTTGTTTTGTTTCAATAAATTTGCACAAGGATGTAAATATAAAAAGCCAGAAAAACAATTTGCTTCATCTATAAAGAAAAATAACAAGTAATTTAAAAAGATTTCATGATCTTTATCAATTCACAGCATTTAATAAAAAGCAAAAAGAAATGCTGAAACAAATTTCCCTTTCTTTTTAGTATGACAACATTTCAAAATTTTCATTGTTAGAAGAATCCTCTAATACAAACCAATAAATGTTATGCATTGTTATTAAGGCAAAACATAAATCCAATTTTTGATGAGTTAGTGAGTAGAATTTTTGTTTATTCATGCATGTAACAGAAGAAGAATCAACAGGGATTTGATTTGGAGTCCATTTTAGTCAATCACATTATACAACAAAACATGTGACCAAATAAATTTGATGAAAAATTTCACATTAACTTCAATGTAGACATTTGTGTGTAAACACAAAGAGAAATACAGAAAAGTGTAGACAGACAAAGACACAAAATAGTATAAAAAGTAATTTACATCAGATTGAACTTTGACATTCAATAAAAATTTTCTCAAGTGCTTGTTTTCAATTTCATCTCCTTTTTTATACCTTGTTACATACTGACCTTATATACACCTGGTCTACTTGATCAAGTGTGAAGCCATATAAATATTACAAAATATAAATATTACAAAATTGGTGCTTAAAAAGTTATTGGAGATTAGATATGACATTTGAAATTGGGAACTCAACAACAAAATGAAGTTTTGTTGAATTGGAGAGCACGGATAAGGCTGGCTTCTGAATAAACATTTTCTCTCAAATTCTTGTGTGTGTTATTATATTAAAAGAGAAGATTTAAGCACTAAATCTTGTGCAGTGCACAAGAGTTAATGTTGAGTATAAGGCTGCATAAGAAGAAGCAAAGCAACAGCTGTACATTGCCAATCCAAAGAATATGGCCACTAAAAAAAACCCAAAAAACAAAACACAATTTCCATTCCCAAACAATCTTGGAATGATTCCTAACATGTATACACATAGGAGGTACCTTATCATTGTAGAATGGTAAGCAATCTGGACTTTTAAATCATTTTTGTGAGTTCAGTAACAATATTTAGTGTCCCATACTCTTGTTTGTATTAAACTAAGTTTAATAAATAACAAGTATATACCTAAGATTTATTCACTGAAATCATGAATGGAAAAGAATGGAAATTTTAAATGTTCAAAAATCAGTAATTCTTTTTTGTTGAGTTAATGCTTTTCACCAAAAGCATTGTAATCATCATTATGGTCACAATCACAATCAATCCAATCAGCAGCAGCAGCATGTGAATGCAAGCAAATAGCAATTCTGCTAAGAAATTAAAATTAGCAGAGCTACAAATGACTAAATTCTACAAAGAATAAGGTTTAATGATAAAATTTATGACTCTTAACATACCTGGTGTGGGCTCAGTATCATGGTCAGCCCAGTTCTGCAACACCCTGAAAGATGGTGATGGAATGTGCTTTCCCTTGTAGCGGATGGAGGCTTCACAGTAATTACCTACTTGACCTGAATCTAGAGAAAGGCAAAAGAATAAAAAAGGCTTTCAATCTGGGGTAACCAGGGTGAAAACTCTAACATAACCAAGAGCAATTGCTTGACTGCAAATATTGTAGAAATTGCTTTAGATTTTTTTTTTTTTTTAAGAGTATTATAGGCGTTCAGTTGATAGAATAATCATTTGGTGAAGATCATTTAGCCGATGAATCAATGCATGTGACAGAATGCAAAAATTCATTCTATACAGATAGAAATCTGATAATGTTTCTTATTTCTTATCAAAAAAGGTTTTTAAAATGCACATAAAAATCATAGCAAAAATAACAAATTTAATTTTAAAATTTCTTGAATTTTCATAACTGCAGATTTCCTTTTCCTGAACGCTGGCCAAACCCTGCAAAAGCTTCTGTATCAATAATATTTTAAACTAAGCTTTGAACATTAATTTTTGACATGGTTCAATATGTTTAACTGATATATATTTTCTATAGCAACAAAATAAATTATAATGATTTCATACATATTATTTGAATAAGGCATGAAGTAATGGATAGCAGCTCGGATTGAAGAATTGGAGAGCCGAGTTCAAATTCCATTTGAATCCATTACATTCACTTACACACTAATACCCTTGGGAAAGGTATGAATCCTCTTCTTCTCCCCCCAGTTATGTGTAAGTAGCAGGACAGACTGGGTTCTATAACCTTGGATGGCAACTGGTCTACCACAGAAAGAAGTGGCAACCTACTACGGGAAAAAAATCTGCCTCGTCAGTCATGTATCAAAGGATACATGATCGCCTAATCATGTATCAAGTATGGCACAAAACTGACTGACCGATTTGAACAAGTATCTTTATTTTTATTGTTTTTATCCCAACATTTTCATCAATATATTCTTCGTGTTGCATCCAATGATCTTTCAAAGCTATTTAATGCATTTAGCACTAATGATTTCTTTTTAATGATATGCGTAGACCAAGAACAGAACAATATGGATTCCCCAGTGATTAAATAGTGTTGATGGAGAAAAGGTATGCATCACAGCAGTGTGTTGAAGACAAAATAAAAGTAAGAATTTCAGAAAAGGAAATGTTAATTGGCACTGAATATATTACCGTATTTTCCAGTTTACAAGATACTGCAGCTCGGAAGAAGCTGATATCAGAAAGAAATTTCCAAGAAAAAAAAGTCCTTCTCTAATGACAACACATTCATGATGCATCCCTCACATACTTGTGCCACATATTATTTACATTAATCCCTCGTCTGATTTTGTTTGCATTTCAATGACATACTTGTCAAGATCAAAAAGGCTCCTGCCACTGCTAGTAAACAAAGCATGTTTAAGCTTGTGGCTTGGCTCCAGGAAGATTTATAGTCTTGGAAATACTTGTAACAGCTAAGTACTGAGTTTACATCATATAAAAGTCTGAATTAGATAGATAGATAACATTATAGTGCAATTACTCAATATACAAATCCATGTCCCTACCAGTCAAGTCAATTAGGTGACTAGCCAAGCTTACTTGAACCTGGGCGTTGCCTTACATTTGTCTTGGAAGATGCACATGTATTTTTCATGTTATTTTTTAGAAAAAATAGTGCATCTTGTAAGCTGGAAAATACAGCAATGCTTTTCTTTTCCATTGTCTCAATAAAAACACCATAGACTGACAAGTTTATCAAACCAAGAATCAAAGTCTAAGAGCACTTTCAGGTGAGACTGGAGAAACCCATCAGAGAATCAAACATTGGTACATAATAAGAAAAACCCTAACAGCCAGAAATTATTCAGTTTAGCATTGGCATTTCCACACAGAATTCCTGAAAATCAATATTAGTAATAACATTTGGGTGCAACTGAGGCACATCCCCAAAGGGGGGGAAGTAACAATTTGAAGGGGGGGCTGAAAACTATTTATTTTTTATTAAAGCTATATATCCAAGAACAGATAGTAAATAGTAAAACGTTGTTGAGAGTTATAATACACAGGAAGTAGTGGAGAGCCATTGTCGTCAACAATTTGGACTCAAAAGCAACACTGAAGAATTGTCTATCAAACAAAAAAATCTAATCGAAATCAGATGAAAACTGCGGAAACGCATAAACAACATCCGATCACACACACAAACATACACATTTTGAGAATTATAGATATAATTAATTATATAAATTTAACTGTATAATAATAAATAATATTATTGTAATTTTTATGAAAGATATATATCCAAGAACAGATAGTAAATAGTAAAATGTTGCTGAGAGTTACAATGGACAGGAAGTAGTGGAGAGCCATTGTCATCAACAATTTGGACTCAAAACCAGTACTGAAGAGTTATCTATCAAACAAAAAAAATTTCATCAAAATCGGATGGAAACTGTGGAAATGTATAAACAACATCCGATCACACACACACACATTTTAAGAATTTTAGATATAGATCCTTATTTTCAGAACTTGAAGCAGTTTTATTGTATTGAACAATACTTTTCAGTGATAAAGAGAATATTCAGTTGAACATCAACCGAAATGAGTATTTAGTCAGAGTATTGAAAATGTGTGTGTGTGAGTGTGAGTGTGAGTGATAGGGAGAGAGAAGAAGAGAAGGAGGTGGAGGTAAATTTACCTCAACTCATCAAGTTCATATTTCAAAAGAAAAACTTTTATTAAAAAAATAGGTTTGATTATAAAATATGTGGAAAATGTGCTGTTTACAATTGAAACTTTTATTTTAATAGAAAAATTCATTAATTGCTCATGATTTGTTTGGAGTTTCTTAGATTTAAAGAAGTCAGGAACAGTGTTACTGCAGCATCAGACAGGTGTTTTAATTCCTATTAAGGTGAGTTGGTATCTTCAAGAAGGAATTTTTAGTGCTGGTTGGAAGGAGATCTGAAGAAAAGAAATGCTGTATATTGTGTCAAATTTCTTGGAAAATGGTGTGTGATGGTGCAAGTGATAGTGCAAGTGATGAAGACATTCAAACATGACAGCACAATGACATGAAAAAAAGTATGCAAACATTTTCAATGATTTACAAGACACAGACAGAAAATATTAAAAGGAGGAAAAAAACAAAGAAACGTATGAAAGTTTTTAAAATCTTGGAAGTTCACGTACCTTGGCTCCACCATTACTGACAACCTCTCCTTAGATGCAGAGACTGCCAAGAGAATGGGGAAGGCAGCCACAACCCCTGTGTGCCTCACAACATGTGTGTGGACCAAACCCAAGCTGATGGTGAAGACCAAGATGGCAGCTCTATGGCAGCGAGGCTTTGACCACATATGCCAGGCAAGAAAGGCATCTGAACACCTTCCACATGAGAAGCATCTGCTACATCCTGGGAATAGCATTGCAAGACAAGGTTCCCAACACTGAGGTCCTGTCTCAAGCAGGTCTGCCCAGCATGTTCACACTGCTCAGACAGTGTAGACTCTATTGGTTATGGAGAGCTGGCCTCTGGAAGAAGACCCGCCGAGCAGCCAAAGCTGCGGTACAGCAATGCCATGAGGTGCGACATGAAAGCTGTAGATATCAACACAGAGTCCTAGGAAAGCCTGGCAGCCATACAATCCAAATCAAGAGGAACCCTGACCAAACACCTCAAATCAGGGGAGGAGAAGCTGACACAAGTCGCCATGGAAAGCAGGCCAGCAGAAAGCAAATTTACAGCTCCAACAGACCAGAAACAGCATACACATTCAGCCTTTGCAACAGGGATTGTCACTCCCACATCAACCACTACAGTCATAGATGTCAATGCTCCAACCAAGCAGACAATTAGGATGCTATTCATGGTCAACCCCTACTGACAGGGGCTTACTACCTTCTTTTTTACTTTTATTATCATATAGAATTGAAAGAATAAATGAATCATTCTAGCCTTTTAATATAATTTAGTTTTGATTTGTTCTTCAAATTAAAAAAACATTGGTCAGAGAATAAAATTGGGATTCTGAAAACTCAAGAAACAATTTAGAGGGCAACAAGAAATTATGTATTTGAAAAGTTTGCTTCTGTTTTATTGCCAGGGATTAAAACAGTAAAAACATGAGTAGATATTGTTAAAATCATTTTATAGAATAACTTAAAACAGACCACAAAGTTATGTAAACCGAAGAAAATGATAACACTGTCAAAATTTAAAAAAAAGAGAAAACTTGTTAAACTTAGAGAAAGCTGGAAGGTTAAAGTTGTGCAGGGAAAAATGTCAATAAGAAAGAAAGAACTAGAAGAAACTGATGAAAAGTTAAAAATAAAAAATAAACTGTTGAAGTGGGGGGGGGTAAATATGTTGATTGGCATGCATTAAAGAGAGACAAAAACAAAAGCATTGCATATTTATAAAAAAACAAAAAATAAGGAAAAAGGAACTGAAAATATTAATGGAAAAGGAATGAAACTATTGCAAATAAATGAAGGAATTTGGTAAAAGAATGGTCCTAAGTTTATTTATAGAAATTTGTTTGGTTTGTTTTACTATCGACCTTAATGGGTTATTTAATGCTGACAAGATTTTTATAGCTGGTAATATTTTTTTTCAAAAATGTATTTGTTGTAACATACCTACAGATGATAATGAGTATGTCCCAATTCACATAAATAAAGTAGTAAATACTGTATGTTGGTCTGCAGTTGGAAATTCATTGTGTAATTCACTTGACTCATTTCTAGCAGTTGACTACTTCTTCTATGCACTGCTGGCAAATCTTATATGTGTTGTTCTTGTCCTAAGTATTATTGTTCATTACCAACCTTCGTTTGATTATTCTATTCAGTAACCTTCCCTAGGTTACAACATTTTGGTGATGAGGATTAGCCAAAATTTCAACAGTATTGCTGCTAATATTTTTGTTTTTTTCCAAAAATGGATTGCTGCTAATACTTTTTTCTTCAAAAATGAATTGCTGCTAATATTTTTTTCAAAAATTTATTGCTGGTAATGATGTATCACTGGTAATAATTGTTGTTTTTTTTCCAAAAATGGATTGCTGCGAATACTTTTTATAAATATGTATTGTTGGTGCTAAAACCTATTTTTACACTTTCGTAGTGCATTGAACCCAATTTAGGGGTTAACTATTTTCACAAAGCTGGGACTCTGACAGGTGCTACCACCCCGGGTCAGGGTGGACCTGGGAACACCAGCAATGAGGAGGAGGTTCCACACTCCTCAAAGCCTCCTGATCAGAAGCCTTGCTATTGGATGTAGTTTATCATCTTACCCTGGACACAGATGATGTTTATCATCTTACCCAGGAGGGAGAAATTTGTTTAAAGACTTTTGATAAATAATAATTTAAATGAAGAGAAATCATTGACAGCAGCAATAAGGAAAACACTAAAAAGTGGATGGTTAATTGAATCCAATGTATGACTGGTTTTATAACCAGTCATACAAAAAAAAAATACTGTACAATACTAATTTAATTTAAACCATTTATTACTGACACATCAACTAGACTCAGTTCTACATCTTGGCTAAGATACTTGTATATTTCTCATTTGAATCAGTTGGTGATAGTCAACACTGGATGAAAATGCCTAGATTTCAAAGAATTCAGACAGGCAAGCAATCAAGTCAAACCTATCTACTTTGAAATATTGGTACTATCCAATCCTTACATCTTTTGTTATCTTTGATTGTCCTTGTACCAGACTAAGCTAAACTTGGTAAATATCTATACTCAAAGACTTACATAAGAAAGTAGCCATAAGATTGAATTATTTAAAAAAAAAACAAGAATAGAAAAATATTTTGAATAAAAATAAATCTCAAAATTAAAACTGAAAATTTAAAAGGAAACAAATTGTAATTAAATTTGATCCTTAAACCTAAGAAAATCTTTGAATATTTGAATTTGATTCATGCTTCATACTCTGCCTCACTTTTTGTTGGTATAATGTTTTTAATCAATTCTAATCATGCAAAAATTTAAATTCTGCATGTATCATGTATAAAGCATGGTTGGAATTGGTCAATGAATTTTATACTACTAGTGAGAATAGGTATGGAAAGATTGTCATAAATATGGTTTGAGATTAATTAAATCTTCACCATGATTTACACAAAAGAACGAAAAGCCATTGCCAATTACTAACAAATAAATTTATGATAAAAATAAAATAGGGACAATATTTTACTATTGTGGCAACTTTTGGTAATCATGAAAGAACTTATCACAGAATGCATGAAGTTTAATATTTTTAGTAAAAGAATCAGTCTTGTAAAATATCTTCACCAGAAGTTTGTATCATTGGTACAGCTTCCATTGACCATTTATCAGGTATTAAACCAAATCTGTTTGCAAACCCCACCTCCACCATCATAAATAAAAAAGCAGGAATTCAGTTTCTTAAAGTGAAAAAATAGAATTTTCAGAATTTGGTGATTTTATCCATCAGGGCTATTTTGTGCAGATTTCTTTTGCCAATTAAAGAAAGAATGGTAACAAAGCAGGAAATGAACTAGAAAAAATGTATGAAATTGGCAAAAAAATGTATGAAATTCATAAAAATGTAGGAAATTCATAAAAATGTATGAAATTAGCAAAAAATGTATAAAATTCATAAAAAGTATAAAATTAGCAAAAAATGTGTAAAATTCATAAAAACATATGAAATTAGGTTGAATTAAAAATCAAATATGCAGTAAAAAACATACTGATGAAATTAAACATGTTTTTTCAAAGTAAGAAAAAATGCAGACATTTTCATAAATTGTGTTTTCTCACCATCGTCTTGGGAAGAGGCATCATCTTGGCTGTCATTGACAGTCAAGTTCTGAAGCATTTTGAAGGACTTGGAAGGGATGTCATGCTTGCCATGAAGTCCAGAGAAACGCATCTCATCATCTTCTGAATTATGACGCAACAACGGATTCTTCTGTTTCTTGCGAGATGCTGGATGCATTGACAGAGAAAAAATAAAGAATTTTACTCTTCAACATATAGATTTATGAAAGGTTTATTTTAGAAACAAGTTTCAAGAGAAAATTACCCCAAAACAGAAATGTAAAATTTTAATTAATGATCCATCATTTTTATCGTATTGAAAATGTTTCAAAATCTTTGTTATTTAAGAATAATTGATACATGGTCGAAAATTATGAAACATAATTCTTATTGAGAATTCTGCAAAAGAATATTATTTATTTTCTAATATTCAAGACATTTATAGCTTTCTGTCACTATTGTTAAGATTTTAATAACCATCATCCTTTGCTTTACCAGAGAAAATAAAAAATATATACATAAGTGGTAGTATATAAAAAGAAAGAGAAAGCTGGAGATATATTGATATAGAAATATATACAGAGTGACTGGAAAGTTACTCCCTACTTTATGTATAATGAACTCTCCCATCTAATTATAATTTTTACAAGACAGGAGAGTCCATCATACATAAAATAGGGAGTTACTTTTCAGTCACCGCGTAGATTGATTTTAATACAATTATTTTTGCCTACCCAAAGATGCAACATACAAAATGAGGCATTTTTAGATGTTGAAAGGTGACAATGAGATGCTTGGTCTTTGCTGCAGACATCAGGGCTAGATGTTATGCTGCTTGAAAATTATTCACTGTTCAAAATTTGATAAGATATTCAAACCTAGTAATTCAATTTTATTTATTTGGTTGCAGACTTAAAGCTTTTTCTGTTGTCACATTTTTTAAAATGACAGGTGTGGAGTTGACAGAATGATAAGCTGAAAAAAAATCAATCTTTTTTTTTTTTTTTTTTTTTTTTTTTTTAGCTTGACCTCATATGGTGATTTTATTCAGGAGGATTTGATCCTAAAGTGAAATATTTGCCTATTTTCCCCAAAATTAATCCAAACTATGAAAATTAAACAAAAAAATGGACAATTTTCTTTATTAAAAAATTGATTTTTCCCAGACAAGCAATGATTTTTCCCAGACAAGCATTATTTCTTATAAAGAGTAAATGACAAACAATTAAAATAACAGAATCCCCAAGTATCATGAAACCAGAATTTGGAATGTAAATACCAGCAGTAAAAAAATCTCATTAAAATTATTGTTGAATTAGCTAAAATAACACAGACACAGATTAATAGGTCATCCAAATTAATATAAGTAAAGAAAAAAATGTAGAAATAAACAAAAAAGCAGCAAATTTAACTAACAGACATTGGAATGTTGAATTGACATGTAGAAATAAGAAAAGAATAATAAAAGCTATTGAATTTCAATTTTGAAATCAGAAAAAAAATGTTACTCTTCAGCAAAGATTTCTGTTATAATTATCAAGAAGCAATGAGAAAAATAAACTAAAAAACTTGTGGAATTTCAAATGTTCATACTTCAAAACATATGCCAATGCTTCTTAACTTTTTAAATGATCTTCATTGTTATATCTTTAGGAAAAACATTTCATTTTTATTATATAGGATGTAATTCCATATAATTAGGAAACTTTTGCAACAATTGCCTTCAGCTTATTTATTCATATGTTAAACAATTTCAAGAATAAATTTTTAATGAGTTTTTCATTTGAAAAATGTTTTCATGTTTCAGCTTTAGATAAATGTTAAAAATATTTTATCCTTATTTATTCTAATTATCTGTCTATATATTTGAGATGAATTATGATTACTTGCATTATTTACATTATTCATAATGTTATCCTCATCTTCATTGCCATATTCACAAGGTTTCGGCCTCTATATCTCTGAGATGAGGTATTATTATTACTTGCATTATTTACATTATTCAGACTTATCCTCATCTTCATTGCCAATGTTTCGGCTAGTGTACACTCTGACCTTCTTCAAGTGATTGGAATTTTGAACCGAACCCTTTATTTCATCCACGGGAGTAGATTATTGTAGTTCCACATGTCATGCCTCTTCCGTCTGTTAGTTAAAGACATTGTGAAGAGGCATGGCACATGGAACTAGAATAATCGTCCCCAGTGGATGAAATAAAGAGTTTGATTTGAAATTCCAGTCACCTAAAGAAGGCTGGAGCATACAATGGCCGAAACGTTGTGACTATAGCAATGATGATGAGGATAACAGTCCAAATAATTTAAATAATGTAGATATATCACCTGAAGAAGGCTGGAGTGTACAACGGCCTAAATGTTGTGAATACGGATATGAAGACGAGGATAACAGTCTGAATAATGTAAATAATGAAAGTTATTCTAATTATTTATCAATTTTATATCTTCACAACAGTTCTTGATTGATCATTTTCTCTTCTTAAATAAAAATAAATATGACTAATGATTATTATTTAATTCTCGGTATTGTCAAACATGTAGAGCACAACTGATCATGAAAAGCATCCACAATTTATAATTGTTGACCAAATTGGAATATTTTGTCCAAAATATTTTAAGAGAATCTTTTGTTTTATTGATTTCAAAGAAAATCAAGTAAAATTCATGAAAATGGAAAACTATAAACAGAAATAAATGGTGAATCTATACAAAAAAATTCAGAAAGAAAAATGGCAGGAAAATTAGTGCATAGGAAGGAAAATAAAAATTAGTGCATATAACATAAAATTAGTTAAACAATGAGGTGATAACAATCTATCAAATTCTGCTCTTATTTATCTATCTATTCCAAAATGTTTATCTATCTATCTATCTCATTTTGTTCATAGTTAGTTATCTATTCCAAACTGTTATCTATCTATCTATCTATCTATCTCATTCTGTTCATATTTATCTATCAATTCCAAACTATTATCTATCTATCTATCTATTTCATTCTGTTCATATTTATCTATCAATTCCAAACTGTTATCTATCTATCTATCTATTTATCTATCTATCTATCTATCTATCTATTTCATTTTTTCCATATCTGTGTGTCTATCTGTCTATACAAATATTTGATATATCAATGAATATTTTTGCTATATTTCTGCAGCACTAGTCAAGAGCCAAGAAATATGTGGAATGTTTTCCTAAAATTTCAAACGTGAAATTGTGAAGATTTCTTTTTAGTCAGTATTTGTTTCTTCATTTTTGAATTTGTGTAGAAAGTTGATGTCTGAAAATAATTCATACTTGGGAATAATTCATACTTGGGAGCTTCAAATGAATTTGCTCTTAGATAAGAATCAAACAAAAACATGTTTAAAAGTTCATAAAAAAGAAGAATCATTTGCATTTATAAATAATAGATTGAAATGAATCCTTTACTGTTTTTTTCATTCCAATTTCAATGAAAATATTATATTTTGGTGAAGTTGATTTAAATGAAGCATTTATGAATTGCTTTGTGAATTTTATAAAATGCTTAAATAAATAAGAGAAATTAAGCTTAAGTCTTTAAAGTCAGTATAATCGATTTTCTAAACAAGGATTTTTGTCACTACTGAGTCTCTGACATTCACTTTCGTTAAATGTCCCCACAAAAACATACTTGTACTGACAGGTAAGTGTGTGTGCGTGCGTGAAAAATGCAACAAGGTGAAAAAAGAAGAGGGTGAAATATTAGGAAATACAAAATGAAATAGATATGAAGAACTTAATATAGATATATAGTTAAATAGATAAAATAAAATGGAAGAAAATGAGAGAGAGACCATATGAAAATGTAAACAATTGCAAAGATTGAAAATGAATAAAACAGGAAAGAATAAATAGATAAATCAATAAGAATTATACACCCTTGTGCAAATTAATTGAAATGACTACTTTAGTTTCGTCTCTTTCAAAATTCGGTCAGTTTTAGATCCACTGAAATGACAGGGTCCAATCGATTTCTACTTTTTCCTCAGATTAGGTCATTTGCAGTGGTAGGCAGTAATATGAATCTATTTTCGGGGTATACGATGAAATTTGTTTAGCCTTGAAAAATCATCCATGATTGCTAGATTTTTATCAAGCCCAGACACAATTGTCCTGACTGTCGATTAGTTGTCCTACGGCCATTGTCTGTGATGGACGTTACTCCAAGGAAGCATACGGGAATTGTAATGCTGCATGAACACACTGGCAAGCCTTACTAGTGAGCAAATCAAAGTACTATAGACTGGCCTGGAAACTCTCCTGATTTAAGTCCAATCAAGAATCTGTGATCAATCTGCAAGGAACGACTTTTTGGAATGGACATACAAAGTACTAATATGTGCTCTGGATGACGTTTCATTAGAAAAATATGAAAAAAGTAAATAATAACAGAATTATTCATTTTGTTTCAATTAATTTGCACAACAGTGTAATGCATGTCCATTTATAATAGTCACTTTGAAAATGATGCCTTGTATTTTATTATGTTGAACCATGACATCATATACAGTTATTAGTGACATGGCAGTAGTGGTTGAACTTTTAAAACCAGTAATCCATATATTTATTGTCTTTTTGCAGATAAGAATTAAGCAGCAGTTTGGCTAAATGGTGTCTGACATGAAAGTCTCTACAAAGGAGAGCTGTGCCATTGAATTCTTCCATGTGGAAAGAATTGTCCCTATTGACATTTATCTACACTTGCTGAATGTTTCTGAAGACCAAATAGTGGATATGAGCACTGTTAGGCAGGGTGGATAATATATTTCATAAGTGAATACAATATGAATAAAAAAGTGGGTTGTCTTCAGTGGTAAAAATTTTATGAGTGGAGCATGCAGACTTGTTCATCACTAGTGAAAATAAACAGCTAATGGTGGTGACTGAGAAAAAAAAAGTGTTTTGTAGTGGAAAATTTGTTCTATCCAATGCTGTAATTGTGCTTCTGGTATCTGTTATAGCTTAAGTAGAAGACATTACTTCTGAAACATCCTTGTGTGTGTGTGTGTGTGTGTGTAGCAGTAAAGAATCTAAAGAAAAGAGCCAAACAAAAAAAGTGATAAAAAGTGTGAATCTTTAAGAGGGAAAAAGAAAAATAACAGTGAGAGAAAAAAAATGAAAATCTACATCGTGAAAA